CAAGCGTCCCGGGCCGCCCAGGCAAGTGGCCCAAATGAGAGTCTTCATCATTCCAGTGGTGTGCCTGTGATAGTGCTAGTACGTGCCAGTTCGCACCTTTGTCGAGCATATATGCCAGGTGATTGGTTGAAATTGTATGTCGGGGTCTAATATCGGTGATCAGCACCGGGCCAGGTCGCGCCCGGTGATCCGGTCTTGCCAGAGCAGGCTGCGGGTCGTGCTGGCGGCGGCATTCTGAGGGCGGAGGCGGCTTCGCGGGGGGGGGCTTGGAGGCTGGAGGCTTCGGAGGGAGGAGGCCGCTGGCGGCGGTGGTGGTTGGGGCGGTGGTGGCTGGGGCGGTGGCGGCGCTGCGCTGGGGCGCTGGCTGCGAGGGGTTGCTGCGCTCCCGCGCCCTAACCCTTGCCGCCGCTGGTCCGCTGCAGCTGGAGGGTGGCCCTCTGGCTCTGCCCTCTTGGGATCCCCCAATCATGGCTCCTTTTGCGCCGCGCCAGCCACAGCATGCGGAAGCTGTGGACAGTAGAGAGCGAATCTCTCGGGTTACGTGTTTTTCATGCTTGTAGCGAACAAATCTACACCATCTTAGAGCGTCGGCGGCCCGCCGCGGCGCGCGGGCGCGCACGACGCGCACGTGCAGCTCCTGCCTCCTCCTCCTGCTCGTGGCCGGCCCCCTCGGGCCGCTCGCCCGCTGCCGCACACCGGCGCGCACTCTCGACTCTCGTCTCCCACTCTCTACTCAGTTTTGTGATTGTGTCTTGAGACTTTTGTCTCGCCGCTGCGCGCTGCGCTCTTTGCGGCCATCGCCACACACACACGAGAGTGCGGAGTGGAGAGTCCGAGACTCCACGCACCGCGCACCGCGCAGTGCTCCAGTGGAGATAAAGGGTGTGGATGCTGAGTTGACGGAAATCGGGGGACGCGACCCACCTCGCCACAGACGGTCCCGCGCCTCGCCGCTATGACGGGGACGCACAGTCTGCTGTGTCCCCGTCTTTGTCCAGAGTGAATAGTCCAACGCGCTCGTCGGTGGCGCGGCTTCCCCCGATTTCGCCGCGCTCGGCGAACCTCGACAGCGCCTTCGGTGGCATGCAGCTCTTTGCGCCTGAATCCTGGAGAGCGCAGCTCCTCTGCTGCTCACACGCTCTGCACACTCAGTTGGGCACAGCCTACTGTGCGGCTGCCACACAGCTGTCAGGTCACAGCGATGGCCGATGGGCTCGCCCTCACTGCTGGCCCTCAGTCACTTGTGCTGCGGCTCTTCGTTGTGTGAGCGACTCTGCTCGGCGACTGCCGGCACACTGTGAGACCATGGGTGTGAGGCTAAACCACGCTACCAGCGCTTGGTCACATCGGCCCCGAGGTCAGATCCGCTTCTCGACTCTGTTGATGACAAGACACTTGTCTACTAAGTTAGTCTACCGGCTGGAGCCGAGCAGGAGGGCCCGGCGCACAACCCCCCCTGGAACTCACCCTCCACACCCCGTACACGCAGGGGTCGCACGCCGCACGGCGCGCGAGTGCGTGTGCGAGTGTGTCCCGCCCTCTCGTCCTCCTGTCTCCGCACGTACCACGTTGCGTGCTGCCTCGTGTGTGCACCTGCTGGGGCCACCACGAGCCACCACGCTGGCCGGCGCGGTCGCGCAGCACGCGACAGCCACCGATAAATAATCCGGAGGGGAATTACCTCCCTAGCCTCACGCTCTTCCTCAGTGCTCAGACCTCACCCACCACTGTGGGGTACAGTACACGGCGAGGCGGGCACACACACGGCCGGCGGTACACATCGACCAAAGCTAGAGCGGACAGCGACACACTTGACCTCAAAGATCTGTCCGCCAGCCAGGGGTCTCGGCGAAAAGGCGCGAACCTGGCCCCCGGAACTGCCCACCATGGCTGCTGCCTCAGCCCTCACCGCCTCCGGCCGCGCTTTGCGGCGTGGCGCGGCCGCCCGCCGCCGCCGCCGCCGCCGCCGCCGCCGCCGCGTCCCGCCTGCCAGCTCGAGATCTTGTCCTCCTCGCCCGTGTCGGCCGCCGCCTATTCACAGCCCCGGCTGTGAAGAGCCGAAGGGGCCCCACGCCTCCCCCCCGTCCCTGCCGCCGCCTCGAGGATGTGCGCAAACTCTAAGAAGTGTCTAAGAAGTGTCCAAGAGGTGTCTAAGAAGTGTCCCACGCCTCGAGGATGTGCGCAAACTCGTCGGCGTCGGCGAAGGTGGCGCCGCCGCGCTTGCGCTTCTGCTTGCCGCCGCCGCCCTTCTTGCCCGCCTCCTCCTCCTCCTCCTCCTCGTCGTCGTCGTCGTCCTCGAAACCGCTGAGGGGCTCGTCGTCCTCGTCGCCCGCCGCCTCGTCCTCCTCCTCCTCCTCCACCACCTCCTCCTCCTCGTCGTCGTCGCCGCCGCCGTCGCTGCTGTCGCCGAGGCCGTCGAGCCCGAAGCCTACAGGGTTCCGAGACAGTTCGGAGAAAGCGCCCGCCGACACCGCCGGAGGGGCGAGAGAGCCAAAGGCCCTCGTCGTCGTCGTCGCCCGGGTCGTCCGCCATCAGCCCCTCCGCCAGCTGCTGCGCGAACGCCTAGCTCTCAACCACCCCCGACTCATGACTCACCGTCCATGATCAGCCCCTCCGCCGGCTGCTGCGCGAACGCCTCCTCCTCCTCCTCCATCTCCTCCTCGCCCTCCGCCTCCGTGTCGGCGCTGGCCGGCCCGTTCGACGGCTGGTTCGCTGTCTCGAACCTACCGTTCTCTCTCTTCGCCCTTGCCATGTGAGTGGACATCTCCCGCCTCCCTTGAGAGACTGGTTCTCATGTCTCTCTCAGGAGCT